ACATGACATATTCAGTGTAATACGTTTGGAGGAACCAGGCAACTTTGGATCAAAGGTTCCCAAAGCTTAACTCTCTGCTGTAATCCATACAGAATTAATTATTATTATTATTATTATTATTAATAATGCAGTACTTGCATTTGGTTTAGCATCATCAGGTCTGTGAGACATCTCAGAGTGCTTCACATAATATTGTAAAATAAATTGACTGCATCTTGTGGGCGAAACACAGCAGTCAATTGCACACAGCAGTGTCCCACAACCGGGAGTGGATTGAGTGACCAGATTATTATTAGTTTTGCTATCAACATCTCCTACGTCAGTGGGTAACACGGTTCTGCCTGTGAACACTGTGTGTACAAGTCTCAGGACAGCACCTGAGCTCAGGCTGTTCTCTGGGTTGCTGCCCTGCGTGACGGACGCTATATTAAATGCAAGTTGTTGTTGTTGTTGTTGTGATCTGACACCGACATTTTCAGTGCAGAGACAGACCAGACATTTGGGTGCTGTCTTTTTAACACAAAAAAAACCTGGCATTTGATACAGGTGTTTCACATCAGGGGGAACGTCTCAAAGCGCTTCACTGAATATACTGTAAAGTGTAGTGACTGTGTGTTTTGTAAGCTCATACGGCATCCAGTTTGCGCACAGCAACGTTCCACAAACGGCCATGAAGTGAATGAACGATTTTATCTGGGGGATTGTCGGACAGGAGCCAGGAGAGAGAAAAATTCCCTCCTGGTTTCAAACACAACACTTCAAACAGATCTTTCACGTCCACCTGTACAGCCACAGACACACATCAAAACGTAGAAACAAGTTACATTTTTAGAAGAATTCCAAGTGCTTTGACCCACAATGGGATCTAATGTGCAACTCATTCAACCCCATGTTACAAGGGCAACGCATCTCATCTCCTTTTCTGTCTTTCTGCCTCTCATTATCTGTCTCTGAATCTCTCTCTCTGTCTGTCTATCACTCCCTCCTGGTCTCTAACCTCACCTTGAACAGATCGCTAAATAAACACGTAGGTAGTCAGGCTGTGCAGATATCAGGCTGTGCGGATGCAACATGTTTCTTCCCACTTCTGTTATTTTCTTTAAAAAATGGGTTTTAACCTGAGAACAAGTTGAGAGAGAGCAAATTTACTTTCTCTCAACGTGTCCCTAGATTCAAACCATTTGTGGAAGTGTGGGTGGGTCTAAAATGAATAAGGACTAAATATTTTCATCATCATTTGTGAACCGCACAAACCATTCTCCTCCCAGCTTCACACGAGAAACACAGCACAGGCACAGCCCTGAACCCCTGAGAAAATCAGTCGATTTACTTAAAAAAAGGGAAACAAAATCATGTTTCAATACTTTCTTCACTAAAGAAAACTTATTTTGAAACATAGGATTGAACCCACCCTCTAAACAAACCCACTCTGTGGTTATTTTGCTTTGCAAACCTTTTACATTTCATATATATATATATATTTTCCGGTTTGATTCCCAGCAGGGCGAAACATTGGGCAAGTTTCCTTACTCCACACGTCTCTGCTCAATTAGTAGTAAATAGGAACCCAGTTGTTAGTCAATTTGCAGATCGCTGTTCTGGGGGTAATAATTCCTTCAAAATAAATAAAAAATAATTTGGTCGCTTCAATCCACAATGTTTGTGGGACAGACGCTGCTGTGCACAATTGGCTGCCGCGTTTCGCCCACAAAATGTACAGTCAATTCACTTTACAGTATATTCTGTGAAGCGCTTTGAGACGTCTCGAAGACGTTGTAAGGCGCTATATTAAATGGAAGGATTATTATTATATACTACCTGTACCCGTTGTACGTACGCTTGCAACCAGTTTAATTTAATCGGCCTTCGCTCTTTCGTCTGCCATTTTTATTTGTCCTTGAAAGGCTTGATCTTCGCTTCTTAGGCATCTTTATCCCTTAAGATTAAGAAGAACAACAACAACAACAAGATTCCATTTATAGAGCGCCTTTCACGTCGGGAGGACGTCCCAATGTGCTGTGCTGTTGAACTCATCGGCATCCCTCGTTCACATGTTTGAACACTATCCTTTTGGGAGGACTCCTGTGGGAGGACTCAGTGGGAGGACTCCTGTGGGAGGATTTCTGAACACAGACAGACATTTTGTCTTTATTATTTTAGATGTATCGCTCTGGAAGGGCGTGCGATTTCTTCTGTCGCTGCTTTGTTGCAGAATACCATACATACCTTTTTTGGGGCTTAATTAAAAAATGTTTTAATATATTTTTCAATATAGCACATCAATGATAGGAGATCCCTGAAAACAATATGCCCCTGACACTCCCCCCATGCAACACATTTCCGATAAATCATGTCTCGACATCAATCGGTTATCGCGTTCTTGGTAGACAGACAGACACACAAACAGACACGCAGACATTTCATCTTTATTAGTTTAGAAGATAAATAAAAACTATTTCCCCAGATGCAGGTAGTGGCACAGGCAGTGGTGTTATTACAGGCCTGAGATTATTAAAGTCGGGGGAGGAGGAGAATTCAATCTTTTATTTTTTGCCTTTAATTAATAACTTACGAAGATTAACACAGACTAAGTCTGAGAATTCAAACACAAATATATAAAAAAAAGACCAAATCCTGCAGATGCTGGAAATTTATCTAAAAAAAAACAGAAGTCGCAAGGAACACTCAGCTGTCAGGCAGCGGGAGAGAGGAAAGTGACCAGAAGGTCATTGACCTGAAAAGTTAACTCACTTTCCTCTCTCCGTAGATGCTGCCTGACCTCCTGAGCGTTCCCGGTCACTTCTGATTTTAACAAACATAAATTTGCTTTCTCTCAGGTTGTCCTCGGGTTAAAACAAAATAAAAATACCAGAAACTCACACATTCGGTTTCTTCAGAAGAAAATTCCACAAACGTAAATAATACGGCGTGTGTGTGGGGTGTGGGGAGCGGGTGGGGGGCGAGTAGGGGGGGAAGCGTAGGGGAGCGTGTGTGGGTGGGGAGGGTGTGTATGTGTGTTTGGGGGAGTGTGTGTGTGTGTGCGCGTGTTTGGGTCTGTGTATGTTTGGGGGTCTCTGTGTGTGTTTGGGGGTCTCTGTGTGTGTTTGGGGGTCTGTGTGTGTGTGTGTGATAGAGAGAGAGATGTTTGCTCTCATTCTTCAAAACAGTCCATTTCCGGGCAACAACTTACATCAAACCTTCTGAGCAGGAAGTGTCAAGTGCCACAGCATATTAAAAAAATATCACACAAACACAAACCCGTGTGTATATTTATATATATATACACACACACACACACGGTACAAAAGTTAATGCAGACAGACAGTAATATTCAGCACAGATTCCTCGCTCGGATGATGATTGACGGGGAAACTGATCACTGTCAGATTGTAAAACAAACATTTTTTTAAAAAAATACAAGAAAATAAGGAGTGCGATTAAACTCAACAACAAATATCATTTGTATAGACTAACTGACTGACTGACTGACTGACTGGACAGAGGATTTTTTTTTTAGGTGACATAATAATTCGTATTCCCATCCAAGATTTTTTTTCTGTGTGACATTGAAATGTTTTGACCCTAAACATCAATTTGAGTATTTTTTTCCTAAAAATAATCCCGTTCGACTGAATAAACATATAATATATCTGAAAAAAAAACCCTCCCTTATCTGTCAATTTGCATCTTTTGAAAAAAAATTCTTGGTAAACTAAATCCATATTATACATATTATATATAAATAAACACTGTATATAAGAAACATCAAACTTGTGGAGTACTGAGCTCAGTGGTTAGAGCGCTCGACTCGGAAGCGAGAGACCGGGGTTCGATTCCCGGCTGCGGGTGAAACCTTGAGCAAGTTTCCGTAGTCCAAACACACGTCTCTGATAATAATCCCTCAAGAAAAAACCCAATAATAAATTGGTCACTTCAACCCACAGCTGTTTGCGGGACAGACGCTGCTGAGCGCAATTTGCTGCCGCGTTTCGCCCACAAAATATACGGTCAATTCACTTTACGGGATATCCTCGAAGCGCTTTGAGACGTCTCGAAGACGTGATAAAGGGCTGTGTCAGATGCCAGAATTATTATTATTATTATATGGTCCCTCTCTCCTCTCACCGCCCAATGAGGGAGGAGTTTGGTATCACACACACACACAAAAAGCAATGAGTTTCTGTGCAGCAGTTTATACCACATCACAATCCACAGAGACACAGAGAGAGAGAGAGAGATACAGAGAGAGAGAGACAGAGAGAGACACAGAGAGAGAGAGGGAGACAGAGAGAGATACACAGAGACACAGAGAGAGAGAGAGAGATACAGAGAGAGAGACACACACATAGAGAGACAGAGAGAGAGACACACACAGAGAGAGAGAGAGACAGAGAGAGATACACAGAGAGAGACACAGAGAGAGATACACAGAGAGATACACAGAGAGAGACACACAGAGAGAGAGAGACAGAGAGAGATACACAGAGAGAGACACAGAGAGAGAGAGACACAGTGAGAGACACAGAGAGAGAGACACAGAGAGAGAGAGAGATACACAGAGAGAGACACAGAGAGAGAGAGACACAGTGAGAGACAGAGAGAGAGACACAGTGAGAGAGAGAGAGAGAGAGAGAGACAGAGAGAGAGACAGAGAGACACAGAGAGAGAAACATAGAGACACAGTGAGAGAGAGAGAGAGACAGAGAGACACAGAGAGAGAGAGACAGAGAGACACAGAGAGAGAGAGACAGAGAGAGACGGAGAGAGAGACACAGTGAGAGAGAGAGACAGAGAGAGAGACACACACACAGAGAGAGAGAGAGACAGACACACAGACACAGTGCAGTCCCGGAGCCGCTTATCCGCACTGACTCCCGGAGGCCATGTGTGTGGATCGGGAGCCCTCAGACTACTCGCTGTCGCTGTCGGGGTCCGGGGAGCGGCGGGTGCTGAGCGGGGACAGACCCCCCGGGGCCGGGGCCGGGGGGGGGCCCGGGGGG